GGGCGCGCGATCCTGAAAATCAAAGCGCAGAAAGTAAATTCATTCAAGCCTGAGCAATCCAGCCAAGGTCTCTTTGTTGTTATGTACCGGATACAAACGTGCCACAAAATAGAATTTTTAAGGTGTCTTTCAAACATTGGCAGTCCCAAGCAGACCGGCGATTGATTAAGGGTCCGTGTAAATACTGCGCAGTCAACAAGCATACAGTTGGACACAGAGCATGCGCGGAAACTCACTAAATATCGAAGTACGGTTTTCGACATTCTCTTAAGTGCAAAATTAATCACCAGTGACAAGATCATCAATCCACTAAAATGCGGCGGCGCCCTGACTAGAGATTGGACACTCTTTCTCTGGTTTGAGCAAATTATGCCCAAAAATATCTTTTCGATAGGATTTGGCCGATTATATTAATCTAGCTATATTTCCTTGAGAGTATACATAAATAGTAATAGATTACATTCACTTTATGGAAAATTGTGCACTTTTGAAGGTAACACTTGAAGGAAAGCGATTTCCAGTTTTAGAAACATTATCTAATGCCCTCGCGTTTCGCAAAACATAACCGGTTTCCTCTATGAATTACGGTTTACATATATTTTGTGAATAGTATTGATAAGAATGAGGGCAGCAAACTGCCTGACCCCTCATTCCAGTGATTGAAAATGTCTCATAGATGCCACATTTCATCAAAGTACTGTACTTTTAAAATTCGTAATTTCCAATAAAAGAGCTCAATGAGTCAATTTTTGTCCATACCGTCTGAAAATATATCAGTGCGGAGACTGACAGTTACTGGAAGATGAACAATTTACTCAACGGCCAATTTTCCGAAAGGTTGTTTTTGATATCCACTGGGAACTCTACAGCAGGATTTGAACAGGGACAGTGACTTGCGTGCGAATTTGTTCATAATGATAGTGTACTCGCGAGCACCTACCACACTCTCTCCCATCCGGGCAGATGTCACGTCAGAGTCGAGATAACGCGCGTGAGTTTGTTTACAGTAACAGTAGACTTGCGAAGCGTCCAACGCAATCTGTTCTCCTCCCACGCCTGTGCCCGGTGTCAAGACAGAGTCGAAATAACCGGAGGCGGGAGAGGGTGCAGGTGGCTGGTATTGCGAAAAGATGCATCTAGACCTGAAAACACACCCTCTGGTCCACAAAGAACGCAGACTAGGATTGTACACACAATGGGAGAAAAGAGAAGAGGGCGGCTCGGATCCCGTGGAGGGGGGGGGGTGCCATGGAGGCCACATTAAGAAGAAGCCATTGCAGCCTGACTCACAGTTGACTAGTTCGCCATCCCACAAAACACACACTGAGCTGACTTCGAAGTTCGGTCTATCCCGTCAGTTGGTAACCTCCCAACTCATGGCCTTTAATGTGCCGTAAATAATTTCAAGCGCCTCAAGCTGTTTATGATGAGGAGAATAGGTTGAGACATTGACCTCACAGTTCCCTTTCCGAGGCCCCAATCACTTTAGGGTAAGGTGAAACCATACTAGCAGCACAGGTACTAGCCAGAAGCTCATACACGCGTTTCGCCGATATTCTGCCGCTGGATGGCGCAGCTTCGAGGGATTCGGTTCGTCAGTGTGTCCCGCAGCATTTCTCCTGTGTTTTCTGGTAGATACTCCAATTTAGAAATTGCTGGGAATGCTGGGGGCCCACTGAAGAGCCGAACCCCTCGCAGCTGCGCCATGCAGCGGCGGAATATCGGCGAAACTGGAGCGTATGGGCTTTTGGCTAGTACTTTCTGAGGAAACTAAAAAGCGACAATTTCTAAATTATAGTGTCTACCAGAAAACATACGGGAAATGCAAAGGACCCACTGACGAGCCGAACCCCTCGCAGCTGCACCATGCAGTGGCAGAATATCGGTGAAACACGCGTGTATGGGCTTTTTGCTAGTACCTGTGCTGTTAGTATGGTATCACCCAACCCTCAAGTATACTACTAGCTGCCTGTCGGCAGTTAATGAATATTACGCGGTTAACCCACTGTGGTTGATGGACTTTGGCCCAAATAGTCATGCATATAATTCTCGGTCTGAACCTATAGACCTTGAATAAACTGATCTACTCCAACTTCGTAGATAATTTCTTAGGGAATTAAAAAGCGACAATCGCCAGTCACTCTTAGAGTCGGTCAGTCGTCTGGTACGTTGAAGGGACGCAGTGGTTGACAGAGCTAGAGAGCCCATTTACACGCCCATATGTGCGACCTGGCTTCTCACACACAGCAGAGGAGCCACATGAGGAAAGGGGCCGAGAAGTACACTTCCGACACACATGTGAGGTGCCAATGATGCGGGATGTTCGCGGAGGGGATGTACGCATGGTGTATGTTCTAATGGGGGAATGTGTGGAGGTCTGATCGTGGCTGCGGTGATTTACCGCAGGTTTTCATGCATGCGCATATGACCGAATATAGATCCATGAAGTGTTTGAAAGTGCGTGGGTGCGAGTGCGGTGGGTATGCTGGCACTCCAGACACTGGTTCGCCAGTTCCCGTGCGGTGGAATTACGAGTGACTGACCAAGCCGATGCGTGATGTACATGGTGATGGTAGTGAGGGCAGGATAGGCTCGGGACTATATAATAGGTTGGGATGATGAGGATGGCGGATGTGAATTGTTAGCGGTAGGTAAGAAGTGTGCTTTTCGGACCCTTTCCTCATGTGACTCATCTGCTCTATGTGAGACTGGAGCGTTCCATGTGTGTGAAATCCTGGTTCGTGCGTCTGGGAAGCCAGTCCGCACATGCGCGCGTGCAGATGGACTCTCCAGCTCTGTCAGCAACTGCGCCAACTTCCCGTACCAGGCGACTGACCGGCTCTAAGAGTGGCCGGGGTCTTGGAATGGGAACAATAACTGAGGTCGACGTCTCAACCCATTTTCCTCACCATAAACAGCTTGAGGTGTTTGAAATTATTTACGGCACATTAAAGGCCATGAGCTGGGAGGTTACCAACTGACGGGAAAGACCGAACCTCGAAGTCAGCTCAGTGTGTGTTTTTGTAGGATGGCGAACTAGTCAACTGTGAGTCAGGCTGCAATGGCTCCTTCTTAATGTGGCCTCCATGGCAACCTCCCCCCACCGCGGGATCCGAGCCGCCACCTTCTCTTTTTTCCTATTGTGTGTATAATTCTAGTCTGTGTGTTTTGTGGACCAGAGGGTGTGTTTTCACGTCTAGATGGATCTTTTCGTCATACCAGCCACGTGCGCCCTCTCCCGCCTCCGGTTATTTCGACTCTGTCTTGACACCGGGCACAGGCGTGGGAGGAGAACAGATTGCGTCGGATGCTTCGCAAGTCTACTGTTACTGTAAACAAACTCACGCGCAATTCATTATACTCACCAACATCCTGCTCTGGAGGGCGGCCGCTTACTGGCGCAAATGCAAGATCAATATCGATTTTCAAGCATGTTTGAGATGTTGGTTGTTGCTTACGCATTTGTTCAATTCGGAAGACGACCTGAGAAAACAGCGCCGAAAATTCACTTAGTAAAGTTTTCTACTTTCACAAAGAACGTATTTGCTCGAGAGAGAGCCCGTAAGGCGCAACGGAACGAAAGTTTCCTAAGAACGATCGGTAAGCACCCCTCTATGATTGTATACTGCTGATTGAAACCGACAGGACAACGGGCCCATGGCCCATTGGTTAGAGGCGTTGGACATCTAACTGACAGGTTGCAAGTTCGAGCCCCAGGTGTTCCACACTTCGGGGTTGGGCGTGAGTGGCTGAGGACGGTTAATAAGTCAGAAATGGCTATTCCATTCTCCCTTGTCTTTGTCGGTAATAACATTCTGCCTACACCATGAGCCGCTGTGCAGCTGCTGGCTGAGCTCGAGCGAGAGACCGTAAGGCACAACGGAACGAGTGAGTTCCGTAAGAACGATCGGTGAGCGTCCCTCTACCATTATATGCATCAAGTGAGTAATTTCAAAAATTACTCAATGCATGACATGGAGTTAAGTCCCCGGAACATGACGTTTTAGGGTCAGAACCGAAATTCCAGTGAGCATTTCAGTCGAAGACAATCTACTACTGTTGAATAACCACGTCATACCCATTCTACAAACAAGTAGTACTATCAGTAGTATGAAATGCACATTTCAAACGTGTTATACCATACTCCCGACATGGGCTTTTAGTTAGTACCCCCCCCCCCCCACGGTCGTCGTCGCTTGTACTGTGGCGCGCTGACGAGCGTCAGGGTGGTTTCGGTCAAGCAGAGTCCACGAATACGGTCACACCAACAGTCCACTCATGGTAGTCGCAAATATTTTCAAAGGGGAACGGACTCTTGGTATTGGATGCTGGAATGTGCGAACGCTCCTAGGCTCTGGTACTCAGAGTCGGTTCGAGAACAGCCTTTATGAGTACAATATGAATGTATGCTGCCAGTCTCGGGCTCCGACTCGGGCTCTTGAAAAAAGGTCTCGGTGGCCAGCTCCCGCTTCACCTTGTACCACGGCGGCCCACGCGACTCTTCTGATAGACGCAGTATGGCGATCGCCCCCTTTCAACAAGCGGACCTCGCTCTGCTTGGCTGAGAACCATTCAAAGACCGGATGGCCTATGTGCGACTGAAAGGTCATTTCACGAACATCTCTATCGTCTCTGTGTACTCACCAACTTCAGCTGCCGAACAGGGCGACAAAGAAGCTTTTTACTCACATCTGAAAGCGTTAATTGAAAGATTCCCTTGCTCCGATCTACCGATTTTTGCCGGGCTTGTAATGATCGGACTGGACCTAACGGCTCCAAAACAGTCAACTCATTGGCCGCTTTGTGCTTGGTTTTGGATGCGGCAATGGCCAGTGATTGCCGAACCTTGCTGGGCAGAACTGACTGTCACCAACTCGCGCTCTCAGCATCACAATGAACATCTGCTGACCTGGTATTCAAACGACGGTTATACAGCCAGTCAAAGTGACTACATTATGGTCAGCTCAAGGTTCCGCAGCTGGGTTCACAATAACAGATCGATGCGTGGTGCCGAGGCTGCTAACGTCCATGGGTCGGAACATATCCTCGTTCGTACATGTTTGAAAGGTCACCTCTCATCCGCGCCCAAAATGCCACGTGCTGGACGCTTCGATGTTGCAAAAACCTGGCAACCTAGCACTATCGAGTCCTTGAACGGAGAAATCCGGTTCTGTTTTACGACCCGGGCCGACACAGTATACAGTAACCAGTGGTCATCACTGAAAACATCAGTCTATGGGACAGGTGAGAAAATTCCTGGATATACCCAGCGACACCGCAGTGACTGGATCAGCGGAATAACCTTGCGGCTGGCCGCTCAGACGGCTCGATCCTGGTCCCGTAGTGATGATTCATTCCGCCAACTTCGGAAGATGACGGCGAAGTCGGCTAGGGCTGACCCGAGAAAATATTGGATTGAAATAGCGACCTCCATTGAACTGGCCTCGAACGTTGGTGACACTCGAAAACTCTACCACCTTATGCGCCAAATTAGTGGTAAACCCTCTGGACTGAGTAACTCGGTTGGAGACGTGAATGGCAGCTTTACTGCCGACAACTCGGCCAAGATCGAGCGGTGGCGTGAGCGCTTCGAGCAATACCACAACTTCGATACCCAATCTACCTCGCACCTGCTCTCGTTCACAGCAGAGTTTCTTCCCTCTCTTACCTATGCAGTGTCATGCGATCCACATTCCAAGGGAGAAGGCGCCGATGCCATACGAAAGTTGCGCAACAATAAGGCACCCGCTGAAATCTTCAGGTCTTGTGTCGACACTCTGGCGCCCTGGCTCCATGAGGTGATTGAACGAGTGTGGAAAGACGAGGTTGTTCCTGACGACTGGGGCTTAGGCATCCTCGTACCTATCCTCAAGAAGGGAGATAAGACGAGATGCAAGAACTACCGCGGCATAAGTCTCATCGACGTTGCTGCGAAGATCTTCGCTATTGTCCTACTCAGGCGATTCCAGGCTGTGCGGGACTCAAGGACGAGGCCTAACCAAGCCGGATTTCGTGCTGGACGTGGATGCGCAGACCAGATATTCACACTGAGGCGCATTCTCGAATTTCGCCATAGCTACCAGCAAACGACGGCCGTCTGCTTCATTGACTTTGCCGCCGCGTTCGATTCCGTTCACCGTGAGTCCCTGTGGCGGATAATGGCGCTAGATGGCGTACTGGCAAAAATAATCGTCATGATCAAGGCCTATTATCGCTCCACTACTGCGAGAGTCCTGGCCCGCAACAATCTTTCCCAACCGTTCGGTATTCGGTCTGGCGTTCGACAGGGTTGTATCCTGTCACCCATACTGTTCAACTACGCTATTGACTGGATCCGCAGTAGGGCTCTACGCGAGGGTGACGGCGTTGAGTTTGACCTCGGACATCGACTGACTGATCTCGACTATGCCGATGACATCGCCTTACTTACTTCAAGTTTTGGTGATCTGCAGTCTATGGTGTCACGGGTGAAGGAGGTCGTTAAATCGGTCGGTTTGTCCATAAACGCTGGGAAGACCAAAGTGTTCTTAAGCTGCATCCCTGACCAGGAGAAGGCACCCCTCGGGATTGATGGCTGTCAACTTGAAGTAGACAGTTTTAAATACCTTGGGGCGAGGCTGCTGCCCAATGGACAGAGTAAGGACGACACTGTCTCCCGAATCGATGCTGCCCATTGGGTTTTTTCAAGCCATCGAAAATGCATGTGGAACCGACGTGACCTCTCCATCGCCACTAAAATTGTGTGTACTGTGCATCTGTCCGGTCTGTCCTTCTCTACGGTTGTGAATGCTGGGCTTTGTGCGTGGAGGACGAACGAAAACGGGAGGTATTTGGCCACCACTGCTTTAAGATGATCCTTCGAGTGAAGTTCACCGACTTCGTCTCAAATGAGACAGTCCGCGCTCTCTGCGACAACATCGAAAGGATAACCCAGGCCATCCAACCCACCATGCCCTTGGTCGCCTCTGCATCAGAGCTTCCTTCCTTTTCAACCTATGTAATGTCCTGTGTCCCCCCTTCTGAAGTAGAAGTCACAGATGCCATACAAAGGCTACGCAACAACAAGGCACCCCAAGAGAACGGTATACCCGCTGAAATCCACAAGCCGTATGTCTACACTCTGGTGCCCAGGCTCCGTGAGGTGATTGAGCAAGCGTGGAGAAACGAGGCTGTTCCTGATAACCGGAGCTCAAGATGCGAGAACTATCGTGGCAAGCGCTTCATCGACGTTGCTGCGATGACCATCGCCTCTCAGGCTATTCTAGGCTGTGGGAGGCCTAACCAAGCCGGATTTTGTGCTGGACTTGGGTGTGCGGATCAGATATTAACACTGAGGTTCATTCTTGGATTCCGCCACAGCTGCCAAAAACCGACTGCCATCTGGTTCGTTGGCTGTGCCGCCGCGTTCGAGCCCGTCCACTGTAAGTCCCCCAGTAGCAGATAATGGCACTAGATGGTGTACCACGAAAAATTGCCGCTATGATCCAAGCCCATTATCACTGCACAACTGCGCGAGTTCTGGTCCGTAACAATCTTTCCCAACCGTTCGGTATTTGGTCTGCTGTTCGAAAAGTTGTAACCTGTCGCCCACTCTGTTCAACGATGTTATTGACCGAATTCTCGAGAGGCTCCTGCATGAAGATGACGGTGTCGGATTTGTATCCGGACGCCGGCTGACTGACCCCGATCATGCCGATGATATCGCCCTGCTAGCTTTCAGTTTTGGTGATCTACAGTTTATGGTGTCACGGGTGAACGGGGTGGCTAAATTAGTCGGTGTATCCATAAATGCTGGGAAGATCAAAGCGTTTTCATGTTGCATCCCTGACCAGGAGAAGGCGCCTCTCGAGATTGATGGCTGTTAAGTAGACGGTTCTAAATACCTCGGGGGCGACATTATCCCCCAAATTGATAGTGCCGCCGGGTTTTCTCGTGCCTTAGAATGTGTCCATGGATCCGACGTGACCTCTTCAGTGCCACTAAGATTCGCGTGTACCGCGCATCTGTCCTGCCTGTCCTTCTCTATGCTTGTGAATGCTGGTCTGTGCGCTCGGAGGACAGTACTTGACCATCCTTCGAGCTAAGTACACTGACTTCGTCTCCAATGAGACAGCCGAGCTAACTGCGAAAACACCAAAAGGATGACCCAAGCCATCCGTGAAAGGCAATTGAGACGATTTGGGCATGTTCTTCATCGTCCAACTCAGAAGCTCAGTGATACTGCGCTCGATCCGGCACCGTCACGCCATTGAAGGCATCGACGAAGGGTCAACGCAAAACTCGGCTAGACGCAATTCGCCAAGACATGGAAGTGGTTCTCGAACCACGCGAATCGTCACGTACGGAAACGTACAGCTGGGAACATCATAGTGGCCGGCTAGGTCAGGCATGATCGCAGCCGTACTAAGTACACGTAAATACAGTCCATTAAATTAGCATTAGCTTTTTACACCATCGAGATCTCATATGGCTCAACTGGCTTTATGATGGTCTTCTGTTAAAGTTACATGGCTTACTTAAGCTTGAAACCGCAGAACAGAGATCAGAGTTCGTATGACTGGCGAGGAATAGCTTCTTCGATCATATCCCTAGCATGCACAGTGCCTACACTCTCCCGCTGGTCCCGTTAAACAATCCCATTGAAAGGAGTTTTTAAGTGCGTGTCGTTGGACCACTTTGTTTTGACCATAGGCAATGGCTCGCGTACTAGACAGCCTAAATGCTCTGGCGATATCGCAGTGCTACAAAACTCCTCCGCAGGAATGCAGTGTGCCAAGTTCCACGGCAGAGTCAAGACAGTAAAAGTTGGCTTTAAGATTGATTCTTCCAGACCAGTCACAACAGACAGAGGCCCTAGCTGTCTTTGGTCGAGACTTCTGTCGGGATGAAATCGACCGTCGGACTAAATGCGCACGCGCAGCATTCATGCGCTTTTGTTAAAGTCTCTAAAAACAGTGTGCGACAATCTGAACATCAGGCTTTCAGGGTGCAAGACAATCACAACGCACGGATACGCAACACAACCCGGGTGGCCCTCACATCCCACTCTCCAAGCGAATTTGTCTGCGTCTCCAAATAAGAACTGCAGGCCACTTACAAATAGAGCTAATTAACTGCGCCCTCTTTACACGACGACTGTGATGGGATGGGTAGTTGCTGTACCAATCGAATACTGAGACCCTCTAAAACGTCATCCTAGCCTGACGACGACCTCGAGGTGGTCAATTAAATGAGTGGGCACACGCGGTTGAAACTGACGTCGAACGTACAACCGAGCTCCTGCTACTTGTTCTACCGGCTAGTCATGCCAACTCACTTAACTTCGATTGGAAGCCCGCTTCGGACTGATTACGACTGATACGTGATGACAGCTGAGCCAGCCGTAATGAATGGTGTCAGAGATGGCAGTGCAAATAAGTTACTCCAGAGACAAACTGAAGTTTGGCTTTGGCACTTCGATTCGGCATCTGAGCAAAATATTTTCTGTGATGAAAGGCTCCGATGGAATTTCTGCCGTTTAAATCAGGTGCCGGTAAAGTGTCCTCTGCTACTATACTAAAGATACTCGAGAGTACTTGAGAATCGCAATCTTACACGCTAAACCTGGCCATATTTAGATGGCAAAGTCAGGTTACCAGACAACGACACTTGTAAGCATTGAACGGAAACAGTGTGGAACATCGCTTCACGTCCCACACGCGCCAATTGCCCCATCTACTGGCGACACCCATCCCAGAATAATATGCGACTGAACGGCTTATGTGGAAACAGGTTTTACCTTCATGATTGGCTGCCGCAATTGCGTCGAATGTTACAGGCTTAGCATGATTATGCGTGGCAACACCCAACTGCAACAAAAGCAACCTAGCCAAAGATCTGCCACTTAAAAGGTATCAAAAAAGACATCCGTTGGCATTATAAATATGGAAGAATGACGATATAGGACTACCTAACATGAAACTTCATCCTTAGGGGTTGGCGCATGAAAAAACTAAATAGGAAAGGCCATCCGAATGGCACTCTTAGGTCATGCGCATAAAATAACGCGCAAGTGGAACCGACCCAACTGAAGACATACACGATGCCGACTCGAAGTTACTAGCTCTGAGGGCGATGCTAAACACTTCGTTTAGCTTGCGTTGAACCTCGATGATATACCAACGTATTCTACGAGTCGTTTTTATTGCCTTTTGAACGTCGATCACCAGCGCCAGCTAAGATCGCCATATAGCGCGCCCGTAGGTATGTGATGGAGTTCTGGGTCGTCAGCACCGTTCGCTGTTAGTCGATTTCCTAACATCCTCACCATATCTACCGCTTTACACTGACCACCACGAGGTGTGAAGCAGAACAGTGGTTCAGAGAAATGATGGCGTAAATGAGTCCCTACGACGGACGTTGAGTGCAACTGAAAGCGACTAAGACTGCGAACTTGCACAGCATCGGGAACACCAACTTGGACACTTCATGCCAGTTCCATGATGAACGTATTTCCAATCAGGACTGACGTAAAGAAGATATTTGACGAAGAAAACTACATGAGGACCGATCTTATTAAGCTAACGGGGGTTAAAGAACGTCGCGTGAACAAACTATGACAATACCAGCAATGTTTCAGCACATCAGTGCGTACTCGACGCTCCCATCAATCAAAAAGTCACTCTGCACATCTTGCGGTGGTCGCATAACGATCTATGGTACAACGAGAAAAGGGAGTCAGGTGCTTAGGTCCGCAGAAAGTTACAAGACTTGGTTGGGAAGTCTGCTGGAATCAATGACAATTCACAACACAAACACTTACTAACGTTTAATAATAGCAAGATGAGACGTAGTCGGTCAAAGGCATAGGTATCGAGAAACCCCCAAACTGGACACTCATATGGTCTTCCTTTAAGTAAACGAGCAGTAACTTAAAAATGCCTTTCCCTCGTACATTAAGTTTGTGTTGTCTAAGCACGAGATCGAAGGGCTCACGCTGCTGATGTGTTTGTAATTAAATAAAACACATACATATTCACTGGTATTTACTAATGATGGAATAACAGAAGAACTAAGCACAGAGATCTGTGTTGACTTTGTTGCCAATGGAAATTTTTACAAAATAGAAAGTTCTAGTCCGCTGTACAAACTCATTTTGACGGTTGGAAAGACAGTAAAGTGGCCTAAAGACTTAAGAGCCATTCATACGCCATTGTAATTATGCCCCACGAAAGCAAGGCTCGGGTGAAATTGGCTGGTAGCCCAGAATATAGACGTGAGACGCGTGTGGACCCGCCTTCATTAAGCAGGTTGACCACCGTGCGACGTATGCTGATGAAGTCAGTCCCGACGGTCGACTGCATGCGAGTTTTTGCAACGCTCAGGGGAAAAATCAAAGCCCCAATAGTAGAGCCCAAGAGCCCACCGATGATAAAATCCATTAGGCGCCTCTTGCAAAATGGAAGTTCACTTGAATGGCTTTTGTCGTTGAGCCATGCTTTTCCACAAAAATACAATACATCGCCAGTACAATTTCGCAATATGATAGGAGTAAAACCTCGATAAAGTTCACGCATTCCGTGATGCTTCAGTAGGACAGAGAGGGCATGGGAAGTATTTTTGTAAGTATGTGCATACTTGGGTGTCTGCAGCAACGTCTGGACTCTTTCAAATGGGGTGAGAACAGCTTCCAAACAACCTGCCAGAATGGCCGATAGCATAGTTATGGTGGGGAGGGGAAGCAGGGTAGTCTTAGGATGTGAGAAAAGAAACTTCTCACCCTGACTTTGGAAACCGAACATGACGGATGATGAAGCCGCGCGTTGTAAGAGCGGAGGCAATACGCCGCGGTAAAGACGACGGAAGCCTTCTTTCT